GCTCCCTCAGACACCAGACCTAGAGATTTGGAAGACCAAACCCTGGGTCTTGGTAACACCGCACCTCATTGGAGATCCAGGAATGGGATAGGCAGCAAGAGGAACAGGCCCTAGTCCTCCTTTGGAGGTGGGTCCAGAGGCAGAGAAAATAGGGGTAGGGGAGATGGACTTAAGTCCTGCAAGTGTTCTCTGGAATGATGCTGGTGTGAGGGGCATGGTGAAGAGGGCCCAAGACTGGACTGGCCATTCTCAAGACCTGGTGCACATGACCTTGTCCTCATGGGATAACATCCTAGATTCTGTAATGGTTTTTTCTTCATGGGTGTAGGCTTTGAAAAACGAGCTTCCACCAGCCATGGGAACAATCTGAGTCCCAGGGACCTGGTCTGACTCCCGAGTCCTCCAGAAGCATAATGAGGTCCTTCTCGTTTTTGGCCCTTGGTGGCTGAGGTCAGGTGAAGCCATCAGGGTGAGTGAGGTGTGATGGCCAAGGGGGTTTGGGAGTGGGAAGATTTGAGATCTAGTGCCAACCGCAAAATACCAGTTGCTGCCACGAGGGGGAGCCAGAGGGCACCATGCCTCAACCCTCACTTTTAAATTTGAACAATTTATTGTGTGCCTACTTGTGCAGCATGCTGGGAATTCAAGACTGAGCAAACACAGGCACAGGGCGTGCCCTCACATATCTCACCATTTGGTGGGGAACAAATGTTAAATAATCACACAGGCCAGTGTAAATCATCTGTGGTGACTGTGGCTGGGGGAGGGAGGAGCGGCATGAAGGAGAGATCCACGGAACCGTGAACCAGGAGACCTGACCCAGGAATTGAGGTTGAGAGAGGCTTCCTAGAAGAAGTGACTACTCAGCTGAGATCTGAAGGATGCTTAGGTTGGAGTTGACTGCACCGGAGGTGGAAAGGGGATCCGACGCAAGTAGTACAGCGTGTGCAGAAGTGTAGGGGCTGGGGGACGGGGTGGGGTGAGGGAAGGGGACAGGTGATGCAGGACCCTCTAAGTTGCCGGGAAGCATCTGGGTTTTATTAGAAGTGGCATGAGAAGCCATTGGAGGTTTTGAACAGGGAGGAGAGTGGAGCTCCCTGCTCTTCAGGAAGCTCTAGGGTCAGGTTTGTTTGCATGTGCAGGGACAGAAGCGAAGAAAGGAGACCAGGGAAGGGGCTACTGCAGTAGTCCAGGCAGAATGCTGACCCAGATGAGGTTGGGGCCTGAAGTGGATGGACTGCAGAGAGATTTGAGACTACCTCACCAGAGACCTCTGTTCCGTATGCAAAGGAGGACAGCGCGGACCGCTATCCAATGAGCAGGCTCTCGGTCAAGATTGCAGAGACTGGAAAGAAGAGTTGTGGGACCCTGGTATCTGCTATGCAACGATCCATCCCTCAGATGAGGAAGCTGACCTCTCTGTAGCATAAGAATTAACTTTCTCCAGGTTCAGGTACCAAACAGAGAGTGGATGTTGGTTCTTTAAGGCAGAGACCGTGGCTGGTAGGGGGGAATCTCCTTCGAAGAAATGTAGGCCTGGAAGGGGGACACACACCCAGTGGTAGCTAATTATGCATTTGGAAGCAAAGAGAATGGGAGGAGAGAGATGGGGGCACGCTAGTTCCTCTAGCATGGTCCCCCTTGCCTCTCTATCTGGGCACCTGGGTCATCCCCCACCCCCCATGTAGGAACAATACTCCTATGGACAAATGATCCCATGTATCTAGAATTTAAAGTTAAAACGTAGCTTTCCAACTCTGCCCAGCAGAGTCCACCAATTTCCTGAGCTCAGCGAGGGCTACTCCTCCTCCTATGGTCCAACCTCACTGTGGCTTTGAGAATGCCTTGTGCACTTCTGAGACCAGGTTTCCCGGAACCAAAATTCCAGGCTCCTGGAGGGTTTTCTCAAAGTAACTGTAGTTCTCATACAAGGACGCTCCCCTACCTGCATGTGCCACATTGAACCTATGTGTCTGCATCCGGCAAAGCTAACATAGGCCCCGAGTGTCCCCGAGTCTGGGATCCCTTCCCTGCCAGGCCTCGGCTAAAGCCAAGCTTTCACAGCTAGTTCCCTGGGCATATATGTGGGGGAGTCCGATAAAGGGGTCCTTTGAAAAGGGATATTTCTATTCTGGGTTGAACCTGAGCGTGGCCTCTGCCTTTGATTCCTCCCTGATGTCTTCCTGGTGCCCCTTCGTGCTTCACAAAACAAAAGGATGGGTGTCAGTGCTTGGTGCTGCCCTGACCTGTACAGAGAGCAATGCTGGAAACACAGTGGGGACCAACCCAGCCCCAGACCCCGCCTTCACAGAGCTCCAGGCCTTGGAGGAAATACGTGCTCACTGAACAATGGCACCCCAAAGTGGAGAGGGCTGGGATGGCGGAAGCACAGGGAAGACTGATTAGGGCCTGTCTAAGTGCAAGGGAGCCCAGAATGGGCTCCTTACTGCGCCTGGCTTGGGAGGTGACCTGAAGACGGGGCCAGCTTCAGCACTGTAACCTGTAGAGTCCCACCACAGCACCTCACATTTAGAAGGGCCCTGTGCTTGGTTGAATGCCCTGCTGTCACCCTCATGACATTCTTAATAATTTTTGGACAAAGGACTCCACATTGGCACTTTGCACGGGAACCTGCATCCTTGCGGGATATTATAAAAAGAGCCAAGAGAGGAGAGGGTCTTCTAAGGAGAGAGAACAATGTGTGCAAAACACGAGGAGAGAGGATTGTACTCTTGAAGAGCTAGCCGAAGTTCTGTGTAGCTAGAGCACGGAGTGGAAGCTAGGGGAGTGTAAGGGGCGAGTTCCAGAAGCTGCAGGCTGACAAGCAGTGGCTCCATTCCAGGGGCCCTAAGGAGCCACTGCGGAGGAACGGGGTCAGGTCTGGACTTCGGAAAGATCCATCTGTCTGTGGTGGGGAGGGGGGCTAGGGCCACATGACAAAGAACAAGGTCTGGTGGGAGGCTGGGCTGCCCGTGGAAAGGGTCAGAGTGTCTGGTCACCGGGATGCAGGCTTATGAAGACCCTTGAATACATGGGTGACAGACCCCCAAGGCACCAGGAGACTGGCCAGGGAGACCCAAAGCCACAGGCTGAATCCAGAGCTTCATATGCACTTGAAGATCTTCATGGTCGGGGGATGTGCTCAAGGGTAGGTTAATGGGTGTCACTGATAGGTACTTGAAAATCTTTATATGAGAACTCACATGGATAGACTGATGAAAGTGAATGCAAAATTGGCAAGAATTTAGTGTATAAAATGTAGGACTTCAAAGGACTTTATTCTGGGTATATTCTGGCTTTAACTCTGTGGAACCTCTGGAGTGCTCTTCCCTCTCCCCAGTCCTCTATCCAGAGGATAAAACAGCAGATCTGAGGAACTTCCTCTTCATCCACAGCCCTAAACGCTGTGGGGGGCCCTCCTCCCCCCGGGGCTGGGAACGGACCCCCTTCCTGCTTCTCCACTCACCTCCTTCTGGGGCAGCACCTCTCGCATGCCCCCATGCTTCTGCTTTCCTTCTCTGGCTTCCTGGACTGCCCCCAGGCCTCGCACATCCACAGGTGGCACTCAGGCCCTTAGCTTCTTCCCAAACCTGCCCCTTTTCCCTGGATCCTCCCAGGGCGGCCCTCCACTCAGCCTCTTGGCAGCCCTCCCACCTGGCCATCCTCCCTTCTCTGGTTCCAGCTCCTGCCTCACCCACTTGTGTCCCTGCATCTCCTCCCCCTGGGGTCTTGGCTTCAGTCTCCCACTCTAGATCAGGGAATCTTCGTAAAGCCAAACCCGACCCTCCTCTGCATAGAACCCTCCATGACTCTCCTGGGTTCCTGGGACAAAGTTCCAGTGACTCAGCCCGGCACGGCCTTGCCCCCTCCCCCACTTGCCCGCGCAGCTCCATCTCTAGCATCTATGTACCCCACCTCAGGCTGGAAGAAAATAAGCACTCCCTGAAAAGCCCACCCTTTTACACACCCACGTTGTTCCCTGTGCCCTCGGGGGAGCCTTCCTTCACTTCCCCTGCTTGTGCTGAAGAGCAGGGGAAGGATCTTAAGCAGGTGAGAAATGAAGCCATTCAAAGAATTCCTTCTTGAATTCTCCTTCTACCCTCCCCCCACCAAAGGCAAGGGTTCTGGGGGCGGGGGGAGAAAGGAACTAGGGGTGCAGGATCCTACGACCTGCAAGGGAAGGGGCTGCAAACAGCATCCAAGTTCCCTCGCCTTTCCTTGTCTGGAGTGCCAAACTCTCCCTGTCCTAGATCCTCCTTGTAGGGCGCAACTCCATTGTTCTCTAGCTCAGGATGTTCTGAAAGGAGGGGAGTCACATGGAAGCCATTGTCTTCTCTTGGGCAGTTCCACCCCATATCCGCCAACCCCCCACATGAGCAAGTCCGCTTACACGACCCAGGAGTTCAGATCCGCAGTCCCCTCCTCCCTCAGACACAGAAGTCCAGCGTCTACTCCCCCTCCTTCCTCAGAATCCAGGAGCCCAAGCTTCTGCCCCCCTCCTTCCCGGAACCCCAAAAGTTCAAGCCTGAAGCCTCTCTGTCCTTGGCAGGCTCAGGAGTCCTGTCCCAATTTTCTTGGAAACCATGATATTCTTGCCCTGCCCCCCTTTGATCTCCTAATTCACCTCCCTCATCTGCCCCTCCCTTCTTCTCTCTGTGTCCCTCCCCCTCTGTCTCTCCATCTGTCTGTCTCCCTGGCCCCTCCCACATAATTAGACCTCATTCCAATCAATGGCACCAGGTCAGACTGGAACCCGTGCTAATGGGGACATCCGGTGTGCGGACCCTGGGATTATAAATACCCCCGCCCTATGGCCTCTGCCCAGCTCCTGCAGGTGAGACCTCCAGCCTTGCCTTTTTCCCTGGGCTCCAAGGCCTGAGCCCTTCTCTGGCCTTCCCCTTGTGCCCCCCATCTGTTCCTGCTCCTGTGGTACAGGGGCGGGAGGCAGACTGGCAGGAGAGACGGCACTAGCCGGTATCTGTCCAGCCTCTCCCTGGGCCATGGCTGCCGTCTCCCCTGCCCTGCTGTGCCTTGGTGCCCTGGGCTGCCTGTGGGGTGAGTGATTCACGGGGGATGCAGAAGACTTGGTGAGCTGATCTGGGTCTGCAGCAGGGGACTGGTTGGGCAGATTGGGGTTTGGGGCTGCCTGGCATGGTTCTGTAACAGGGGACTGGCCACCGTGGAGCTTCTTGGGACAGGGCCCGGGCCAGCTGGAAGCAGGGACTGTTTGTGTAGACTCTGTGGCGGGAAATTGGACAAACCGGTGGTGGGAAGGGGGCTGAGTAGGACTTTCTGGAACAGATGGTTCAAAGGATGCAACTTTATTTTAAGTTAATATTTACCATTGTTCCCTGGCCTTTACATGTATTATCTCATCTAATATTCCCATAGCTCAGGCAACACCCCCATTTTACAGATGAGGAAACTGAGGCCCAAAGGTGGTACCTTGCCCACATTGACACGGCTAGGACATAGCAGTCAGGATTAGAACCTGATGCATTTGACCTCAAAATCTAGCAGATTATGCTGACTCCCTCCTTTCCCCTCGGGTTCCCTCAGGCCCAACGGCTGCATTTGTGGAATTCCAGGGCCGTTACTTCATCACGGCTTTCTTGGAGAATGGAGGCGCTGAGAAGCCCGACTTCCGCCTGTACGTGTCGCCACCGCCCAAGGGGCCCCCGACAGCGGTGCAAGTGAGGGCGCACCCGGTGGGGGAACCGCCCTTTCGGCGCGCGCTGAACCTGCTGCCAGGCACTACCGCGTGGGTGCGCCTGCCCAGCGCTGTGGAGCTGCGGGGCTCGCGGCGGGCCGCGGGGGGCGCCGTGCGCTTAGCCGCGTCGCGACCGGTGGGCGTGACAGTGGTGAACGCGCGTGGGCGCACATCCCTAGATACGGCGCTAGCGCTTCCGCGCCGCCTGCTGGGTACTCGCTATGTGGTGGTGACGCCGTCGCTGCAGCCCAGCGATCGGCACAAGGAGTTTGCGGTGGTGGCCGGCGCTTGGCCCACGCGCCTGAGCCTCACGCCTCCGGTGCCCATCCTGCTGGATGGCGTCGAGCATGCTGCCGGCCGGCCCCTCCTCGTGCACCTCGACCCGTTCCAGGCGCTGCAGGTGCAGAGCGCAGGCGACCTCTCGGGCACCCGCGTCGTGGCCACTCGTCCCGTCGCGCTGCTGGCTGGCCACAGTTGCCTGCAAGCGAGAGATAAGGCCTGTGGCCACGTGTCCGAACAACTGCTGCCCCAGGATTACTGGGGCCGCGTCTACGCGGTACCCCCGTTCGCGCCCGCGGCTCCCGGACCCAGAGACCGTGTGTACGTGGTGGCGGACAGCCTGGGCAGCCTGAGCTTCTGGGGGGGCGGCGTCAAAGGGGCGCGGGCTCTGCGCCTCGGAACCGTGCTGCACTTCGCGGTGGACCCAGTGCGCCCCCTGGTGCTGCGCTCCTCCGCCGGCCTGCAGGTGCTCTTCCTGGCTGCCGCTGCGGCCCGCGGGGGCGTCGCCTACGATCCCTTCTTCGCTCTCCTGCCTGCGGTGGACGCGTTCAGCCGCAGCTTCGCGCTCACCGCGCAGCCCGGCTTTTCCAACGTGGCGGTGCTGCTGGCGCGCGAGCCCACCCCGGTGCTCCTTGATCAGCAGCCGCTGCCCAACCTGCACTGGCGCCTAATCCCCGGCGGCCCAGAGCAGCACTCTGGTGAAAGCCAAGCTCCCGCTCCGGGTTTCGTCTGGACCGAGGTGGCATATGGGCCTGAGCCCGGAGTGGTGCACTTCCTGGAAACTCCCGGGCCGCCGGTGGGCGTGCTTAGCTTCGGCACCGCCCCTGGCGCGGGCTTCGGGACCCAGGCCATGCGGCAGCCAAGCGTGGGTGAGCAGCACTGGGGCCCAAGGCAGTGGGAAGTTGAGCAGACGCTGGGATTCCAGGAGATCAGGGACGGGGGAAACCGTTAACACTGTCTTCAGTTGCTCACATAGCAGCCCGAGAGGCAGGGTTTCTTGTTTCTTGTTTTTTGTTTTAAAGCAAATCTTCCGCTCAAAATCTTCCCATGCAATTATTATTACACCCAGCAAAAAGCACAGTGTTTTATGAGGCCCCATACAATATGTTCCCATTACCTCTCTGATCTCATCTCTTCTCATTCTTGCCTTCCCTCACTCCAGCCCAGCCACACCAGCCACCTTACTTTCTTCTCCCTTCTCAGAACCTTCAACACTGACCATCCCCATGATATCTTTATGGATCTCACCCTCATCTCTTTCAAGTCTCTGCTCAAATGCCACCTTCTTACCAAGGCCAAATTGACCACTCCATTTAAAATCCTAATTCCCTATCCCTTACAAAACTGCAGCCCTTCCCTGATTTTTTTCACAGCTCGTCTCACTTTCTTTTTTTTTTTTTTTTTTTTTTTTGAGATTTTATTTATTTATTTGTCAGAGAGAGAGGGAGAGAGAGCAAGCACAGGCAGACAGAATGGCAGGCAGAGGCAGAGGGAGAAGCAGGCTCCCTGATGAGCAAGGAGCCCGATGTGGGACTCAATCCCAGGACGCTGGGATCATGACCTGAGCCGAAGGCAGCTGCTTAACCAACTGAGCCACCCAGGCGTCCCTTGTCTCACTTTCTATATACTTACTTATTCTCTTTCTCTGTCTCCCATTAGTTCCTTGAGGTCAGTGCTTTTTAAAAAAAAAATTTTTAAGGAAGTTCCAAGATACACAGTTAATTGTATGATTTTTAGGTAGGACAGTGTTCAACCCTTAGTAAATATTTGTGGAATGAATAATAATGGTTATAAGTTGTTAAATGTGCACCAAATCATATGCCAGGCACTGGGCTCAAAAAGGAAGTTATTGTTGAAGGTCACATGTTCTTTTTCTTTACTACAGTATAAATAGTAAACAGTGGGGTCAGGGGAAGGGATAAAATAATGGGTGCTTGACCTTCCCTCCAGTCTTTGAGGTTGACTATATAACAGTATTGTAATAATTCCTTTTTTCTGGCGAGGGGAAGGGCTGGAGGTCAAATCTTTTGCCAAGTTCATACAGCTAGAAAGTGGCAGAGTCAGGATTTGAACCCAGGTCTACTTGCTTCCAGAGCACAAGGTTTCAGCCACCTTTCTGTGTTGCTTTATTTTGTACTGCTTCACACAGACTTAGAGCCTAGACTTTTAAGCTAAGTGGTAAATTCTCTTATATATAATGTATGTACATTATACAGTATATTCCTCACAGCCACTCTGGAGGCAGGCCTCTTTATTACCCCCATTTTTTAAAAAAGATTTATTTATTTGAGAGAGAGTGGGGAGAAGGGCAGAGGAGAGAATCTTCAAGCAGACTCCCTGCCAAGCGGGCCCAATGTGGGGCTAGATCCTAGGACCCATGAGATCATGACCTGAGCGGAAACCAAGAGCCAGATGCTCAACTGACTGAACCACACAGGTGCCCCTGTTTTCCCCATTTTATAGAGGAAGCAGTTGAAGGCTGAAGGCAAGAAATCACCATCCAAAGCTACACACTGAGCAGGTGGCAGCTGCAAACCCAGAACCCGCTCAGGCTGCTGAGAAAGAGGCTTATCACTTCAGCGCTCTGCCCAGACTACAGAGTAGCTGGACAGTGACCATGGGCCGGAATACAGTTTGGGTGCTCCCACTTAATCGTTTCCAGTCCCCAAAAAAACAGTGGGAGACAAGGGAGGTGACAGAAAAGTGAGGGAGGAGTCAGAAAGGCTGGGGTTTCTTAGAAATGAAAACATGGACTTCAATTCATTTATTAAAATTGGCTCAGAGCTGGATTCTGGAGGCAAAAGGCCTGGATTCAAATCCTGCTACAAGCTGTGTGACCTTAGGCAAGTCACATCACCTCCCCGAACCTGAACTTTCTCCTCTCTGAACTGTGAATAATAATACCAACAACTTCATAAGGTTGTTGGGGCATTTTTTAAAAAAATGAGTTAATAGGAGAGTGTCTGGCATGCAGTAAACATTGGCTATTATTAATTTTCCACAATTTTTTTTTTTAGATTTACTTCAGGCTAGGCCTGTTCTAGGCACCAGAGATGCAGCAGTGTACAACACAGAAACATTCCTACCACAGGGAGCTGATACTTTGGTTCATATTCTAATCCATACCAGAAGTCCTTATTATGTTTTGCTGGAAAATATGCAAACCCCTACAGAACAAAATTATTTTTTAAAAGTTCACTTTGTAGGTGTCAAGCGTCATGCCTCAACAGCTATGAAAAAATAACTCCCCTCCCTGGGAAACGGGGTGGCTAGATCCCAACAGAACACACACACACACACACACACACACACACACACACACACACATACACACATTCTTAAGGCTGCTTAACATGGCAAGCTGGAATTCGACCCACAGATGTGTTTAGACTTACCAGCACAGAGATTTTGTAGTAACTGATCGGTGTTCTTGGATGGAGTCTGTGCCCTCCAGCTCATCACAGCCCTGTTCTATACCCACACTGTACTGACCATTTCTGTATTATTCTCCGGTCCCACCCTTCTCTTTCTGACGATATAGGCCTGCTTCACTCTACATTGGGAACCCTGCTAGCTTATAGATGTTGAGTCTCCAAGGGCCCTAAAGGCCTAGGGCATGCAGACAGGAAAGGGATGGGACCAAATGCCAGGATTCGGTTCTGTTGCATCATTTCATCTCATCTCATCTCCAGATATTCTGACTGCGGAAGATCCGAACCCTCCCGCAGAATTCTATCCCCTTCTAGAATCTTCCCTGATGATGCCACTCCAGTTCCCAGGATCCTGTAAGGACCATGTATGCTCCAGTGGAACCACATGTTACCTCGTGAGGCACAAACCTGAGTGTGTGCCCGGCACCCTGGCCACCGAGATCATGTTCAGTCCCAAGCCAGTATCTCTGAAGGACTCCAAAATGGTGTCCATCTCCAGGTCTAAAACCACAGCAGTGCCCAAACCAGGATCAGAGAGCACACCTGAAGCAGAGCCAGGGCTTGTCTCCATGGCCATGAATGAACTTCAGCCTCAATCTTTGGCTTTGGTAAAACCAGAACTTGAACCTCTGGGTCTAAAAGAACCATTTCCTGAAGCCCTGGTTGTGGCTGAACTAGCACCCGCACCTTTCCCCCTGCCCATGCCCACAGCTGAACCAGAGTCCAAACCCAAGACAGAAACCATCCCAGCAGCCAAGATGGGGCTCAAGGTGGTGGCAGTGACTAAACCAGGCTCAGAGGCTTTCTGGCAAGAACTTGAAACTGTGTCTGAGTCCAAAATGCCATTGGAGGCCAAGCTGGAGACAGTGGACATCTCCAGTAAGGGGCCGGGGGACATCACAGGGGGTACCTGCTGGGTTTCTGGACTGCCATACATCTACACTTTTGACGGCTACTCTTTTCCTGTGCCTGGGGGCTGTACCTACATGCTGAGCCATTGCCCTCAGGCCCTACCCAGTGGCCTCCCTGCCTTCCAGCTGTGGATCGCCACCTCTGGAGAGAGGCAGCCCATGCGCTTTGTCACAATGCGTATCTTTGGTGTCACCATCACTGCTGTCAAGCATGAGTTCGGCTTTGTGCAGGTAAGAACCATTATGTATGGAATCCTGGGAAACTGTATCCTTCTCTGTCCCTCATTTTTGTCAGCTCTACAGTGGAGGCAATCATATATAAGTCCATACTCCCTTATCCAAAATGCTTGGGGCCCAGTGCATTTCTGATTGTGGAATTTCAAGCGGTCATACCACGCAAATGCCATATATTATTAATAATCCCAACAAGTAGTACATAATTACAAACATTAATATCTCTGCAGTGCAAGGTCTGAATATGCACACTAAGTGGGATAAATGAAGGCATTAAGGAGCCATACCATGAATTCAGATCAACTTTGGCTGCCAATTACGTTTTAACATCAAATACACAAAACGTCTCAGTCTTCAGGCCACTTTTGCATTTGGGGCTAAGGGATTGTGGATCTCTAGAACCTGTCAACAGTTTCCTGCAAAGTGGAAATGAGTTAAAATACAGAAAGCATGGAACAGAGTCCACCTCCTGGTAAGTGTCATATGAGGAGTATTTGCTGGGTTTATTGTCCCCTAATACTGACAACTGAACCTCTACATTCTGGGAGCTTTGGACTTAACCTTGGACCACAGGCAGCCACTGGAAGGTGTGAAATTTCTCCTCAGGTTGGGAGGCATTACTCTGCAAGGTTGTGGGGACTAGGATATATTTAATCAGGGTTGCTAGAGGGAGTAAACCTATGAGGTTATGGATGTACTAAGCCACTCCTCAGCACCACTGTAGAAAGACAATGCACTCTGGAACCTGATGGCCTGAGTTCAAATCCCTGGTTGACCATCTGTTATCTGTATGACCTCAGGCAAATTATTTAAACTCTCTGGGCCTTAGTTTCTTCATCTGGGAAAATCAAGATGATAAAAAGATTTCACTCATCAGACTGTGGGCTCATGCGTGGAAATGGGCTCCAATGGGCTCATGTATGGGAAGCTCAGAAGTACAAGATGCTAGGACCAGATGCAGGAGCCCATGGTTCTCCACACTCCCCTCCACACACTTCTTGGGAACCCACCTGCGACCAGGAAAAAATGGATCAGGAGTGTGGCATCAGGATGTCTGAGAGTGTAGTTTTAAGTAGGAGGACCTCTCTAAGAAGATGAAACTTGAGCCAAGTCTTAAAAGAGGTGAGGAAGAGAGCCATGGGCACTCCAGGCAGAGGGAACAGCAAGTACCTAAGGCGGGAATCTGACAGGCACGTTAGAGGAACTGCAAGAAGCCAGGCTGAAGAGGAGGGATGGTGGGAAGGGGGAGGAGGAGAGACCATGGTGTCAGACTGTATGGGCTCTTAACAACTTTGTCTCTTATTCTGTGTAAGGTGGAAGCCAAGGGAAGATTGTGTGCGGAAGAGGGTGAAATATCACTTGGGTGTTAGCAGGATCTCTGTGGCTGCCATGAGGGGAAAAGACCATGGGGCTTGTGAAGGATGCGCAGTGAGGAGGTTGCTACCATTGTCCAGGCAGGAGATGGTTGGACCAGGGTGGAGGTGGTGAATGAGAGTAAAAATGGGTTGGTAACCTTCTCAGTGATTGGATGGAAAAAAATAGAAATCATGGATTGGGAGGAGAGTTTTCGAATGATCCAGAAGTTCTTGGCGGAGGCTCTTGATAATTGGGGAAAAGACATTGGGGTCCTAGCTGAAGGCTCTCCTGTGAACTGGAGACTTCTTAGTAGAATCACTTATCTAGATTCCTAGAAGGAAGACTTCTGAATTTTGCACGAGGTCACATCTGGGTATTGGTAACAAGAGTCCTGGTTAGAAAAAAATCAAAAATAATTTAAAAAATAAAAAGATTCCTGGTTAGTGGATGGAGTGACTGTCCGACCAGAATAATGGCTCTAAATTTTCCCTGAGGAGAAATTTCAGACATGCCAGTGGCTGCATGTGGTCCTAGGAGACGTCCAAGGTCACAGGATTTGGAGGTTCCTGATGCCAGTGTTAGGGGACAAGAGGCATTGCAACCCTCCTCCTATAAAGCGTGAGGTGGACTCTGTGCCAAGTGCTTTTCATAACTCATTCCCACCTTCCCTCCCCAAAGTCCCCACTATCTTCGCATTCCCAAATCCAAGCCCCTCAGCCTCCATCCCCCGCTTCCCCTCAAATGCTCTGAATGCGTGCTTTCTGTCACTGTCCCAGTAACTCCTGACTCCTGCTCTTGGGTCACCCCTGCAGGTGGACCACCAGCGGCTCCGGCTGCCGGCGACGCTGCACGGAGGGAGGCTGCGGTTGCATTTCCGCAGCTCAGAACTATGGGCAGAGGCAGGTCTGAAGCAAGAGCCACCAGCGCTGCGCCTGGTGTACGACTGGCAGCACGCGCTCTCTCTGCAAGTGGCCAAGGGCTACCGGGCGCACGTGGTGGGCCTGTGCGGCAACTTCAACCAGGACCCGGTAGACGATGTGGGCGGTCCGGACCTGCGTGCTTTCTTGCGCACTTGGGCCTTGCAGCCACCGGACGCCCCATGCCACGCCCTCTGGGCTGCTCCCTGCGCCAAGCCAGCGTCCCCAGCCGAGACCCCAGGGCCCTGCGCCATTCTGGCCGATCTGAACGGGCCCTTTAGCCCCTGCCACGACGTGCTGCTGCCTGCGCCCTTCGAGATCAGCTGCAGGGCTTGGATCTGCCCCTTTCCCAACTACCGACCTGCGCTTTGCTTAACTCTCCAGGTCTACGCGCACGCGTGTCAGCGCCTGGGTGTCAGCATCGACTCCTGGAGATTCCAGACTGGCTGCCGTGAGTGAGACTTAGATCGGAAAGGCTATGGGTTGCTGGGGAAGGGGATTCTGGGACTTAGGGGGTGGCACTCCTTGATGCTGGAGTTGATTCCTGAGGCAAGCCTGCAGGGTCCCTGGGGTGGGACTGCGGAAGCACCAGAGGCTGGGTTCGTTGGGTGAGGGCATGGAGACTCCTCCACCCTAGAGGCGAGATTTCTGGTTTCTGGGAGCTGGAACACCTAGGTCTTGGAGTGTGGGGTTTCTGGGTCCTAGGGCGAAGGCTTCCAGGTCCTGGGGTCCAGAATTAGTTAATTCTAAAAGGCAAGTTTCTTGCATTTGGTGGATGGAAAAGTCCTCTAGGTGACAAGGACTCCAGACTCTGGGGTGAGAGTTTTGTGTCCCAGGGCCAGACTTTTATGTTCTAGAAAGGGGACTTCTGCTTTCTGATGATAGAAACTTATTTACTCTGTGAGATGGAGATTGCTGGAAAGCCTCCATTCTAAGAAGGAGGATCCCAGGATCCTAGTCACGACTCTTGGAAGCTGAGGGCTAGAATGTCTCCATTTCGGGGGTAACTGAATAATTAGGTCTTTGGAACCAGACTGGGAGGTCCTGATGTGAACACTCTCTCCACTCCACCTTCTTCTCCTCTGCCCCCAGCCATTGAGTGCCCCCAAAACAGCCACTATGAGCCGTGTGGCTCCTCCTGCCCCGAGACGTGCATGGGTCCGTTGGGAGTGTCGTGCCCGCTGCCCTGCGGGGAAACGTGCGCCTGTGACTCCGGCTATGTTCACAGCGGTCCTGCCTGTGTCCTGCGACGCCGGGGACCTGGTGGCTGTGGCTGCACACACCAGGGACGTCTGCTGGGACCAGGCGAGACTTTATGGGAGGGTGTGGGCTGCATGCGCCACTGTGTCTGCCCAGCTTTAGGAGGGAGCGTGATCTGCATCCAGGGTGGTTGCAGGCCAGGCGAGCGCTGCATTCTGTCCCGCGGCCTGCGCACCTGTGTGCCCCGGAGCCTGGCCACATGCGTGGCAGCCGGCGGAGGTCACTACATCACCTTCGATGGGCGCCGTTTTCACTTCCCTGGCTCTTGCGTGTACCTGCTGAGCGGCCTTAGTTCTCCCGCACCTCAGGAGCTGGCAGACTTCCGTGTGCTCCTGGGCACCAGTCCTGATGGAGTCCCAAGTAGCCTCGAAGTGCTTCTGTCTGGTTACCACCTGAAGCTGGACCCCAAGGAACCCGGTCATGTCCTGGTGAGAAAATCCCAACCCTGACCACACATGCACCCAGGGATCCCACTTTATGACCTCTGACCTAGAGTCCTCACCTCAAGACTCCCAACCCTGATCCCTAGATCCCCCTAACCTGACACTAGGGTCATACCTTGAATTTTTGTCCTATGATACTGGACACTCAAGGCAGAACTGCCACCTCCTTCCTCTTGCCCCATGGTCTCTGACCCAGCCGCTTAACTTTAATCCCCCAAAACTAACCCCCAAATCAGAACTCAAGCCTTAACTCTTTAGGACCAAACCCTAAATCCAGAAGCCCCTTACCCAGTCCCCTATAACTTCTGGTGGCAAAGGAAAAATGTTGTAATGTTGTTGGAAAGACTGCAGCGAAGGCACTCACTAGGCACCAATGTAATAACAAAGAATGCATGAGAGTCCTTTTAAGGTAGATACAGTTGACCTTGCCATTTTCCAGATGAGGAAATTGTGGCCCAGAGAGGTGAGGCCATTTGCCCAAGGTCACACAGCTCATAGATAACAGAGCTGGTATTTAAACCTTGGCATTTCGGCTCCAGGGTCTATTATGCTGTCTCTGCAAATAGTAAACAAACAAACAAACAACACATGACCTCAACTTCTTCCTTTGTGAAACATAATTCAGAGTCTCCAATGACTCTGACAACACTTCAGTGTGGCAAATTTACCCATCAAGGTGGGAAAGACACTGGGTAGAGACATTGGGAGAGCAGCTGTGGGGCTTTGGGGATGAGGGATGAGTATTCACCGACCAACAGAGGACAGGACCCAGACACCGTCAGTTATTTTTCATCAGCAGTTTGCCTTGGCTGTATTTTAAATTTATCACTGATTGCCATTTTTTTTTCTTTTGGGGGGAATTTTTTCATTGTAATTTTATTGAATCTATAACTCCAATTGGAGAGACTGTTGAGTTTTCCAGCCCACCAATATGGTATATTTTTGCTTTTGTAAGTCTTATTTTATTTTATTTTATTTTATTTTACTTAAATTCAGTTAGCCCCAGAAACACTGCCTTCCAGTGAAGGATACAAATCCTTACTTTATCCTTCCAATTTTTTCCAGTGAATGTTATTATTTCTTTCATTTTACAGAGAAGTTAAATTGCCAAAGTGAGACAGCTAACCAAACTAGGAGCAAAGATTTGAACCCAGATAACTTAACCCCAAAACCAAAGGGCACTTAACTACCTCACTTCACTGTCCTAACACATGTAGTTATTAAAATCAGACCATATGAAGCTGCCAATACTCGATGTTTTTTCCTAAAAATGTGGCAGTTTCATATAGTTCAACCTAAGTGTTTGAGACAAATACTCTTGGCTTTGAGTGTCTGGGACAAAAACTCCTAGCCTTGACTTCCTTGTGATCCCCTGATCACAGAGCCCAGTCCTGATTCTAGGCTCTTGAAACTCCAGTCCTGACCCAAGAATCCCATTTATTCATTCAATTAGCACTTATTGAATACCTACAGTGTTCCAGCCACCATTCTAGGTTACATGTGTTAACTGTATTTCAGACGCAATTTCAGTCCAAGTCCTGGGCATCCCCAGACCCAATCCAGGAATTCCAAATCCCCAGTTCCCAAAGCTTACAAACCCTCACCCCCAATTCTTACACTCTCAGCCCCAGCAGCTGTGGGCAAATATGGTTAGACCAGGAACAGCAGCTTCAACATTTGTATATTTGCATAGCACCCTGGAGCCCCTGCCATTACCTAGAAATCCCAGCATCTCTAGGACTCTACAGCCTAACTTGACCAATGAGCCTCACTCATTCATCCATGCATTAGTTCAGTAAATATTTATTGGACACAGACTAAGTGCCAGGCACTGCACATGTGTCACTTTCAGAGGCTGTTGGTTTCCACTCTCCAAATCTGATCCAGGAATCTGATCTGGTCTGATCCACAGACCCAAACCCCAGAATCCACAGTTCTCATCATCCAAGTATTTGTTGGAAAAAGTATCAGTACAATGGACAGCATCCAAGCTTTTAGTTTGATTTTGCTTTTTTTGTTTTTGGTCCTAATAGACCCCTAGTCCCTCAACAAGGCCTTCTGGGGGCCCCGCTTGTACCTAGGGACATAGGCATCCTTTGTACTGATACTGGGTCCCTAGAGCCCCAGCTTGACATACCCTCTTCACACAGGTGAATGGAGACTGGCAGAATCTACCATTCCAGGCTCTGAGCAACAGTACCCTCATCTTTCGCCATGGCTGGGACACTGTGATCAGCTGCCCCTTTGGCCTGCGCGTGACCTATGCCCCTGGGATCCGCGTGGTAGTGGATCTTCCAGCAGCATATATGGGCCATGTGGCAGGGCTGTGTGCTGACTACAATGGGGATCCTGCGGATGACCTCCAGGTGCCTGGAATTGTGCTGGGCACCAACATGCCTGAGGATGCACTGGCTTGGGCCTTTGGCCATAGCTACTTGGTGGGTTCCCCGACTGAGTGCCTGAATGCTGCTGACAAGAGGCCGCTGCCGCCACCATCCTGTGTCACCCTGCCAACCACCAGCACCCCAGCCCACTTTGCCCACATCTGTGACATCCTCTTGGACCCCCTGGGGCCCTTCCAGCTGTGCCATGAGATGCTGGCACCAGGCCCCTATGTCCAAGATTGCATGGTGGATGTATGCCTGGGTATTGGACCCTGCCCCATGCTCAGCCTCTACTGTGAAACTTGCCAGCTGCTGGGCGGCCAAGTCTTCCCCTGGCGGAATTCGAGTCTGTGCAGTGAGTGCCTAGGGCTTCAGTCCAGCCTCTCCATCTTTGCTCATCTGGGGAACCTGGTCCCACTCCTGACTGAGGTCCAGCTTCTGGGCTGTTGCCCATCCCAGGGTGTCAGCTCATCCCTGCACAATGTAACCCTGAGACCCTGGACTTCCCACTGCGCTGGCTTCCACCCATCCCTCCACTCCCCACCAGACCCTCAACCTTGGCCCATCCTAAAGTGTCAGGCCTACTCCAACAAAAGTCCAGCCCAGCTCTCATCCTTCCCTCTTCTTAGCCCTGATTATGGACCAGCCCTTTACCCCTTACCTCTCAGGGACTCAGACCTGTTCATGGTCCAGCCACCCAACCCTTATCCATCCAGGCCCTACAGATTGGCTCTGACTCTGATCCATGGTTAACTACCTGGTCTTTTGCTATCTGAAGGTTCCTGCAGCTCTGCCCAAGTAGACCTTTACCCCTCCAGGGCCCCAGATTCCCCATCCTAGCCCCAGAGGTGGAGGGTGAGAATCCCAATAGGCAATGCCTTGAAGCAATCCTCCAATCTGCCTTCGCAGGCCCGCTGTGCCCCGCACACTCGCACTACACGCTGTGCGCTCCGGATTGCTCAGCCACTTGCGCGGGGCTGAAGACACCGCCTGGCTGCCACGGCCCTGGGCTCTGCCGCGAGGGCTGCGTGTGCGACGCGGGCTTTCTGCTGAGTGGCGCCGTCTGCGTGCCCCAGGCTCAGTGTGGCTGCCTGAGCGCCGGCCGCTACTTGGAACCCGGCGCCCCGCTGCCTCCCCCTCACCCCGCGACCAACCGCTGCTGCCGTTGCCACGCCGGCGGCCAGGTGGTCTGCAAACCCTGCCGCGCAGCCCGGGGCCGCCCAGGCGTCTGCCTCGCCTCAGACGGACTCCGCTTCCGCACCTTCGATGGCACCACCTTCCACCTTCCAGACGCCTGCACCTATTCGATGGTGGGCACGGGCATGGGCCGCCTTCGGGGTGTGTGGCCCTTCGAAGTGGTGCTGGAGAAAGACCCACGGATGCCCGAGCTCCGCCGCGTGCTGCTCCGCGTGCATGGTCACCGCTTCGACCTAGACTGGGAGGACTGGGGAAACATCACGGTGAGTCCCCGCCCCGTGGTCCGCCTCCTTTCAGCTGCCTGGCAGTCTCTGTTCTGACAGGTGGGATCTCCCAGTGTCGCTGACTGATGCCCGCCTCTCTCCAACAACCTCATTTCCACTCTTCTCCTCCTCCCTTCTCCACTGCCCCCTCTCCTTCTGCCCCTTCCCCTTTCAATCCCTCTCTCAACAGTTGTGTCTGCACATTCCCGTCCCATGATGCTCAGGATCACCCACGCCCACCCTGCCTATCTCCCCTGTGGCCAATCTTCATCTTGGCCTCTTTTCGTCCTCCACCGGAAGGAGGGTGCTCTCTCCTGCTCCACGCGCCCTCTCCTGCTCCAAACTACCATCACCTCTTCCCCAGGAGGCCCACCCAGCCTTCTCTGACCCTTGCTCCCTGCTGGCCCAACCCCCTCTTTGGTGCCCCTGCCTCCCCACTGCCCTTCCTCTCGAGGTCTCCCCATCTTTTTCTCTCCAAAGTGGTCCCTCCCTTCTCTCCTCCTCCTGTCCCCACATCCCCTCCTTCCTCATTCCCAGCTCTACCGTCCTCTGCTGCCTTCCTCCCCAGGGCCGTGGATGCTCTCAGGTACCTCTCCAGCCCCTGAGTAAGGAGTTTCCCTCTCTCCCTGCACTCCAGGTTCACTTCCTCACTCTCCCTACCCCTCACTCAACTGCCCCCCCTTCCCACAATGCCCACTCCCAAGCGCCGCCTTGAATGTCCCTACCCCTTGACTCCTCTCCTCCCCGGGTCCCTCTTCTCACTCCAACAGTCCCTTCCACTCTTCCCCTGTTCTGGCACACACTCCCCGCACCACCCCTGCTCACAGTCTTCTCCCCGTTCTCCCCAGACCCGGTCCTTCCCCCTCACCCTAGGCTGTCCCACCCCTGCCCGCAGGTGGACGGCGTGCGGCGCTGCCTGCCCTTCGCGCTGACCAACGGCAGGGTGCGCACCTTCGCGCGGGGCGCCTCCGTGGTGCTCGCGGTGCGTGGGGGCCCGCGCCTGCTTTTCGGGCTCGGTGGCCACCTGAGCGTGGAGCTGCCTGCGGCCTACCGCGGCCTCACGCGCGGCCTCTGCGGCAACTTCAACAGCAATGCGTCTGATGACCTACAGCTGCGGCCCGGACCCTGCGGCGCGCCACATCCCTGCCCGGGTTCGGGCTGTCCACCGGCCGCCGGGAACGCGGGCGCAGACCCAGCGTGGCGTGGCGCTTGCGGCCTCCTGCGCGAGCCCAGCGGCCCCCTGGCACCCTGCCACGCACTCCTGCCGCCGGAGCCCTTCTTCCAGGCCTGCGTGGCCGACATGGGCCGCGCCCGCGGGAACCGCAAAGTGCTCTGTGCCTTCCTGCAAGCCTACGTGGCTGCCTGCCAGACGGCTGGTGCGGAGATGAGGCCCTGGAGGGCTCCCAGCTTCTGCCGTATGTCCCCCCGCAGAGGGCTTCAGAGCCGGCCCGGATGGGGTCCGGGGAGGGAGATCGCGGTCTGGGCTTCATTCATAACACAGGTGTTAGTTGAGGACTTACTATGGGTCGGTTCCAGCTGATGATACAGCACCAAATGGCACAAAGCCCTGCACACCCTGGGGCTGGGAAAACAGATTTGATTTTATCCCTTAGCTAACATTTATAGAGCACTCATTCAATACCAGGTGCTGTGTTAAAATTGTTCCCCTGGACCAGCACTACTCAGGGTTTGTTTACAATGCTAATTCTTGCCCTGTCCCAGACTTACCGGATCAGAAACTCTGGAGTGGGACCCAGCAATCTGTTTTAACAAGTCCTGCAGGAGACCTCGACACAAGGCTGTATCTGAGAACCTGTTTTACCTGCTTTAAGTCTGCTCACTCCATCTGTGAACTGCTCCAGGAGTTAGGGACAACTGTCTAACCTTAACCCTAACCCTAACCCTAACGCTAGTGGAGGCCAGAGGCACAGAGAGTTTTCCAGATCTCACAGCCAGTAGGGGGCAGAACTGGCTTGTCACTGGGCCCCAGAATCCCCTCTCTAGGGCCCTAGGCTCTCATTTCTCTCACAATAATGTAAAAATAGTTCCAATAATAACATGAAAAGAACAGCTGACCTTACTGTGCCAATTCTCCCAAGAGCCCCATCAGGCAAGTACACTTCATGGATGAGGGAAACCAAGGCATAGATAGATAAGGAATTTGCCCAGAGTCACACACCTAGAATATGACTTATTAGCTGGCATCTGGATATTTTGTTCATTTAACAAACTCTCATCAACTTCCAACTTCTCTGTCCACATGTATTCTCCTTGATCCTCATGGACTCTCGGCCTCACCTTGACTTACTGTGGTGTCAGCGTCTATCTCCTTCTGACCTCCTTTCGTCTCTAGGTTCAAAAGTTCCTGGAGGGAATCTGGGTTGCTCTTGGAATCTGGGGTGCTCTTTACTTACAGATGGATGGTCGCCTCCATCTCTGTCTGTCATGGTCAGACATGGGATTGGGAAGGAAAACCCCATAAAAGACAAAGAGCAGGGAAGTCCTGTTAGTCGTATCTGGGATACATTCAAGCAGCTAGTGCATTAGTGCATTGTGTAGCATATGCGGACACTGCTCAGTCCCTGCTGGTTGTTATCGTTGTCACCATTAATCTGAGGGGGAGGTCTACGATCTGAGGGTGCTGGGCCAGCAGAAGGCAGGCCCCTGGCTTGCCAGAGTCTGACAAGCCCCCTCTCCACAGCCATGCGGTGCCCCCGCCACAGCCACTACAGTCTGTGTGTGAACCCCTGCCCTGCGGCCTGTCCAGGTGTTCAGGAAGTGGTGCGGCTTCCCACTCCCTGTGCTGAGGGCTGCGAGTGTGAAAATGGATTCTTCCCGGCCGGGCGTGACTGCGTCCCTGTGGACCACTGTCCTTGCTTCCACAATGGCCAGTACTTCCCTGTGAGCATCCTCTTGGGTCCTCCCACTTTGCCTCAGATCTCCACGCACCTCTTTGTGTGGGTTTCATCTCAGAACCTCTGGGTGCACCTTCCTTTCAAGCTACCTCCCTTTTCAGCTTTCCTCCCTTCCTCCACAGCCGGACCAGACTGTCCTCATCAAGAACTGCTCCTCCTCCTGTACCTGCCAGCTGGGGGAGGGTGTGGCCTGTGTCCCCTTCAGCTGCCCTATGCAGGAGGTCTGTGGCATCACAGATGGAGTCCTAAGCTGCCGTTTGCAAGGTGCCTGGGGCTGTGGTCTGAGGGGTCAGAGATTGGGGCATGACTCCTAAGTCCTGGGAAGGACAGGACTGGTGACCCAGACCCCTGGGACTCATAAGTGCCTGATCTTCTCTCTCCCCCACAGCCACCTTGGGCCCTGCCCCGAGCTCTGTGGCCCCACCACTGGTTCCCCCACCTTCCCCACCCCTGCTCCCCAGCCCCGGTCCCCAGTGCCCAGAAAGCTCCCACTTTGTTCCATGTGGCTCTGCATGCCCAGCCACATGTGCCAACCCTGCAGCCCCAGAGCACTGCCACGACCCCTGTGCTCCAACCTGCCAGTGCCTCCCTGGCTACTTGCTGCTAGGGGACCGATGCGTGCCCCGTGCCCATTGCCCCTGCTTCCTGCACCAAGGCCAGACTTTCTGGACAGACAACTGTACTCAGCAATGTCACTGCCCAACCCTTGGGACCCTGGTGAGCAAGCTTCCCCAGTGTTGGCCTGACAAGTGCAATGGTCACTGTAAGGCCTCCATAGGTGGCTGGTACCACTGCCTGTTAGTGCCGTCCCCACCCAGTCCCACTGTCATGGAGAAGTCACTGGTCTGTGCTGCCACTGGAGACTTCCACTTCCACACATTTGGAGGAACCCACTATGAATTCCCTGGCTCTTGTGTCTACCGCCTGGTGGGTCTCTGTGGCACAGCCCATGCCAACCTTGAGCCCTTCAGTCTGGATTTGACCCCATTGCTGCGGCCACGTGGCTGGACCAAGGCCCTGACCCTCTCAGCCTGTGGCCTGAGGCTGGACATGAGTCCAAAAGATCTCAACCACATCCGGGTGAGTTTTCAAAGGCTCCAGATCAACCTACTATCCCTCACCATCCTTACTACCCACAGGTAACCCACAGTGACCCCTCTTCATTGACTCTCATGGGTCCTCAAAGATGTCCTCCAATTTCCTCGTGGTCCATTGACTTGCCTGTTGACCCCTTCCCACAGACCCTCTATTTGAGATTCCTATTACCCTTGAGTCTCCTATTACCTTCCCATTAACCCTCCACTGAGTCCTCAGTTGACTCCCCTTTAACCTAAAACAGCCTTGATCTTCCCATTGACCTTCCTTTTCTCCCCCGTCTAATATCCCACAAACCCTTCACTACCCCTCCCGAAATGATCCTCCTACTGTTACATTGACTTGCACATTAACCCTATTTACTATCCTCTTAACCTCACCCCACACCCCATAGGTATGTACTCCTGTCTTTGTGGGTTTTTTAAAGATTTTATTTATTTTATATGACAGAGCTCACAAGTAGGCAGAAAGCAAGAGGGTGAGCAGAGAGCCCAATGCGGGGCTCAACCCCAGGACCTCCAGATCATGACCAGAGCCGAAGGCAGACAGGCTTAACTACTGAGCCACCCAGGCGCCCCCCCCCCCATTGTACCTGTCTTTGATTCTTAGTCTCACCATTTGAGTCTTCCTTAGACTGTCCCATTAAAATTCATTGACTCCACCCCCTTTTACCCCCTGACTGAGTCTCCCCATTGCCACCCAAAGCCACATAAGCATTCTCTTGATCCTCAGTACCCTTTGTATTTGTCTATCCACTTCCTTCATTATCCCTTTTCTTATCCTCCCCTTGATCCCTTACTGACTCCTCCCTACTGACTTTCTAATTATTCTTTTTACCCTTTGTTGATCTCCCACGGATCCCTCATTAACTTTTTTTTTTTAAGATTTTATTTATTTATTTGACAGAGAGAGATCACAAGCAGGCAGAGAGGCAGGCAGAGAGAGAGGAGGAAGCAGGCTCCCTGCTGAGCAGAGAGCCCGATGCGGGGCTCGATCCCAGGACCCCGAGATCATGACCTGAGCCGAAGGCAGCAGCTTAACCCACTGAGCCACCCAGGCGCCCCCCTCATTAACTTTTAATTAATCATTCCACAATTGACCCCCCCACCACACACATACACACATGGAATCCTTTACTGACCCTCCATTTAGCCTTCACTGATGGTCCACTGAATCTCCCTATGATTCCTAATGACTATCCCTGTTAACCAGTGTTTCCCCTTGATCTTTCTCTGATCCTTTATCGACATTCCCAAGAATTTCTACTGACAGCCACTATATCCCTCCCCCGCTGTTCTTGCCACCTGCATGCCCTCCCTGTAGGTGGATGGAATTCTGGAATCACTGCCCTTCTTTCACGGCCACTGCCTCCGTGCCTACTACCAAGGCCATCAGCTCTGCGTAGACACGGACTTCGGCCTCTCCCTGACTTACGATTGGGACAGCCTGGCACGTGTAACACTGCCGAGGCGCTATGGACCCTACCTGTGTGGGCTGTGTGGCCAACACAGTCCGAGCAGCCCCACCATGCAGGTGCCTGACACCTGGAAGGTGGCAGAAGTGTCTGGTTGTGGCCCATTCTGCGGGCCCCTCTGTCCCCGCCCCTGCCCAGAAGCCAAGCGCACTGGATTCGCTGGAGACGCCTACTGTGGGCTGCTGACGGCGGCCGAGGGTCCCTTCGGGTCATGCTACGCCGCGCTGGACCCGCTCCCGTTCATGGACAACTGCCTGGACGACGTGTGTCGCCACTACGGCGCTCATCACATCGTCTGCCGAGCCCTGACGGCCTACACTGTCGCCTGTCAGGCTCTGGGCGTGCGCCTGAGGCCCTGGAGGACGCCTGACTTCTGTCGTGAGTGCGCAGGGCTTGGCAGAGATAGTGGGTGAATCTCGGAGGAACTGGCCTTTGGGACACCAGGGGAAGAACGTGGAAGGACCAATGGAGAAGTTCAAGTCTGGGTGGGTGGAGCCAGGTGCAGAAGGGTGGGACTTGGAGAGGAGTTAGACCTCCCCTTAGAGGGACAGCAATTTATTAACGAGCTCTTTCTTCCTGTCTTTTGTGCCTGTCTCATTCTCACTGTCTCTCTGTCTCCCCGGTGCTTCTCTGTGCCTCCCTGTCTCTACCTCGCCTTCCTATTCTCTGTTCCTCGTTCTCTCTCTCCGCCGTGTTGCTCTCCACGCCCCCCCCCCCCGCCGCCGCCCCGGCCCGTCACCCTCCGTCTCCGTCTTCCCGTCTGTTCCTCCCTCCCGCCTTACCCGTTTCTCCCACCCTCGCTATTTCTTCCCCGTGTCTCTCCATCTCTTTCCCCTCACTGGGCCCCCACAACCACACCCCACCCCGCGGCCCTCCCCAGCCTTGCGCTGTCCCCCGCACTCGCACTACGAGCTGTGCGGCCCGTGCTGCCCCGCCACGTGCGCGGGCCCAGAGAACTGCTCCGGCCGCGGCGCCAGCGGCAGCCGCTGCTGTGAGGGCTGCGTGTGCGACGCGGGCTTCGTGCTGAGCGGCGCCGCCTGCGTGCCTGCGGCCAAGTGCGGCTGCCTCCGCGCCGGCCGCTACCGAGCTCTGGGCGCCGCGTGGTACCCCGGGCCCGGCTGCGCACGTCGCTGCCATTGCGGCCCGGGCGGCGCGGTGACGTGCGGGCCGCGGCCGTGCCGGCGCGGGCGAGTGTGCGGCCTGCGCGGAGGCGAGCGCCGGTGCTTTCCCGAAGGACGAGGCAGCTGCGCCCTCGCCGGGCCCGCGCACGTGCTCGCCTTCGATGGCCGCGTGCTCACGCTGCCACCGCCCGCGCCCTTCCCTTCTGGGCCCTGCCTCCACCTGCTGGCCCGCAGCGGAAGCCAGGGGCCCTGTCGCTTCAGCCTAGACGCGGCCCGCGATGGGGCCGGGCTGCTCAGCCTGCACCTCAACATCTCCGGGCACCACCTGCAGCTACACCGCTCCCTTGTCGGCGTCATCACGGTATGTGTCTGCTCGACTGCACCCACGCCCCACCCTCTCGCTCCTGGAAGTGCCGCAGTTTCCCCCACCATAAGTAAAATGCGCGTGTCTCTCAAGGCTTATGAGATGGTGCGAGTATGTGACAAGGTAGGAGCATTGCCTGGAACGGAGTAATGGCTCAGGAAAGCATAGCTGTTAGATATGCATTGCCACCTCTTACCCAGGACTGGAGAAAATCAGTCCTTGAGGATTATTTCAGTAAACTGAAGAGTCTCTCTGTGGTCCAGGAAAGCCCTGGAGGATTTGATGGGCAGCAAGTCCTGGGAGAGCTCACATCCTCTAGGGAAACACATGATAAGTAAATAAATAAGTAGTACATCCGATCATGGGTTTAAGAACTACAAAGATGAATAAAAGAAGGGAGAGAGAGAGAGTACAAGAACAGAGTAGGGACGCCTGGGTGGTTCAGTTGGTTAAGCGGCTGCCTTCGGCTCAGGTCATGATCCCAGTGTCCTGGGATCGAGTACCCACATCGGGCTCCCTGCTCAGCGGGAAGCCTGCTTCTCCCTCTGCCTCTCTGCCTGCCATTCTGTCTGCCTGTGCTCACTCTCTCTGACAAATAAATAAATAAAATCTTAAAAAAAAAAAAAGAACAGAGTAAAGAGGTTTAACATTTAAATAAGGTGATGGGGAAGACCCTGCTGAGAAGGTAACATTTGAGTCAAAATCTGAAGGAAGTAAGGGAGCGGAGGGGGTCCATGTGGACATCTGGGAAGGAGCAAACCAGGCAGAGGGAATGCAAAGTGCAAAGGTCAGGGAAGTGGCATGGGAACAGGCTCAGCCTTCACAGCCCCGATCCTGACCCCTTTCCTCCACAGGTGGATGGTGAGCACTGCCGGCTGCCCTGGGTATTGGCAGAGGGCAGGGCCTGGGCCACTTTGGAGGGCCGCCATGTAGTGGTGTACACGGCCTGTGGGCTACATCTCATGTATGACTGGGACAGCCAGATGCGCCTGACTGTACCTTCCACCTTCCATGGCCAGCTGGTGGGGATCTGTGGGGCCTTTGGTGGCAAAGTTGGCCCCCTTGACCTACCTCTAGACAAAAGGTCCTGGCCCAAGGGCCTGGTCACTAACCCCTGCCCGCTGCCCCAGCCCAATCTTGACTTTAGCATCAGCTGCCCCACTCAACGCGCCCAGATCGTCAATGCTCCTGAACTATGTAGACTTCTACAGGCACCCGATGGTCCCTTTGGCCGCTGCCTGGACCATATCAGCCCCAAGCCTTTCCTCAGGATTTGTCTGCAAGACATATGTCATACCCAAGGCCAGCACCTCGGTCTCTGTGATGCCCTCACAGCCTATACTGCAGCCTGTCAGGAAGCTGGCATCCCTGTGACACTCTGGAGGGGCCCCAAGCTTTGCTGTGAGTGCTCTGGGTGGGTCTGGAATGCATCTGGGGCAGGTTGCAGGCAGCAGGAGGAGCCCCTTCTGATGGGGATCAGAGAAGCAAGGACATAGATGGAATAAGTAGAGTGTGGTGGGAAGGGCATCTGAGGGAAAGAGAACTGAAATTGCAAAGGTGTGAAGGTTAGAAAATATCAGTGGGAAGCTAGCAACAGGAAGAGGCAACAGGATTGGAAAGGGAAACTTGAATCCTAAGCATGGGCCTTTGCCATCTGCCTGCAGCCATGGCTTGTCCACCCCAAAGCCACTACAGCATCTGCGCACGGACCTGTGATGGGGGCTGTGTCGAGCCTACCAGCCCTGCGCACTGTTCTACCCAGTGTTACGAGGGCTGCGAGTGTGACCCTGGACTCATTTTTGATGGCACAGATTGTGTGTCTCAGGACCACTGCGGCTGTTTTCACAGTGGACGCTACATCCCTGTAAGAGAGGTCCCCAGGCATGGGCGGGTGGATGCAGAGTTTTCCATACCTCATCATAAAATGTTCCTTGGACCACGTTATATCAGTCAGCATTTGCAGTTATAATTGCTAGAAAATGAGGCCAAGTATCTTAAATACAAGGATATATCTACCTTTAATTGTTTAAATTTGAGGCCTTCAGGCATGGCTGGATTCAGGGGCTCAAATGATGTCACTAGGACTCAAGTTTCTTTCTGTCTTCCATCCCTGCCTTCTCTTTTTTCCATATTGGCTTCCATATGAAGTAGGCTCTAGGTCCAAATGCTATAACAGAGGCTCAAAATTGCAGTGGCTTAAACTCAGTAGAAGCTTGTTTCTCTCTCATGTATAGTCCAAGAATAACCAGTTTGGTTCCTCCAAGTCAGAGACCCAGGCTCCTTCTATCATGTGGTTCTGCCTCTTCTGTAGTATTGCAATGATTTGCTCCCAACCACATCTACAGTCATGCAAGTTGGCCAAGGAAAAAGAGGGGAAGGAAGGTCAGGCCTCCTCTCTTTAAGGGCATAACCCAGAAGTAGGACATACCACTTCTGTTCACATCCCATTGGCCAGAACTTCACAGAAGGGCCCCATCTGGCTGCAGAGGAGGCTGGAAGATGTCTTTCTGGTGGAGTCTAGCTATAAATATTAATTCTGGGGAAGAAATGGAGAATGGATATTTGAGGACACGTATAGCCTCATTCTCCAACCACTTCTGAATGTAGGGTATGGTGGTCTCCTCCTGCTCCAAGTTTATGATGTACATTTAGCCATCTCAGTGGAAAGATAGGCTTCTCTTTCAGTAGTTACAGCAGAAGTCCCAGTGCTGACTCCTGTTGTCCCAGGGTAGGTCATTTGCCTATTCCTAAGCCGATCACAGAAGCAGAGAGATGGGGTACTCTGATCTGTCTCTGACTGGCCAGGCCTGGGACATGTGCCCAGAGCTGAAGCCAGAGCATAGGTATATCATCTAGGAAACCCCCCAGACTGAAAGTGGGGCTAGTTCCCCAAAGAAAATGGAAGGCTGTTACCAGAAGACCATGGATGGACCCCCAGCAAGCAAAGCATTCCCTTCAAGGTTTTGCAGCTCTTAAGAGTCCATTCAGAAGAAAGGACCCCCAGGATGGCTGACATAGTTGTCTGGAGATTAGTGGTTACTGGATTGGAAAATACATGAAGGTTTAAACCCCAGACCACCCTGGAAATGAAGAGATGCCCACACCGAGAGGAACAAGGCATAAGGGCTGATAGATCTGCCATTGTGTTTTCACTCCACACTGGCACTGACACTAGCCACACATCAGCATTTGCAGGGAGCTCTTAAGGCTTTTCACACACCAATGAAAAGCGGGCGGGGGGTGGGGGTTGTCCTAGATTAAAAGAGACTTAAAAACCACCATGGTCAAATGCAGTACACAAGGCTTGATTAGATCCTAATTCAAAAAATGTCATTAATAGACATTTAGAGAGACAGTTTGCAGAAACTCATCAAACTTTTTTATTTTTGCCTATCTCATAGAGAAAAAATATCTCAATGGATTTTTTAGTTTGTATTTGTCTTACTAGGAGGTTGAGCATCTTTTCAAATGTCTAAGAAACATTTGTATTTCCTTTTCTATTCACTTTCTGAATAGCCTCTGCCCATGTTTTTAGATTGACTCACTGGTCTTTTTTTTATTTCTAGGAACTCTTTATATGTGAGGGAACGTAGTCCTTCATGATGTATGTTTTACACATATGCTTTATTTTTTTTATATTCCCAATGGTTTTTTGAATCCAATTTTGAGTCTGTGTGTCTCTGCAGGTTGGGGAAACTCTGGTCCTACCTGGCTGCCAGGAACGCTGTATGTGCTTGCGTGGTCAAGGCCTCCAGTGCCAGCCCTTTTCCTGCCCACAGGGCACAGGCTGCATCCTGGATGGGGGTGTGCGGTCCTGTGAAACTGGGGAGGGTGCTACATGCCACCTCGAGCCGGGGGGCCACTTCACCACCTTTGATGGCTTTAGTGGGCTCACACCCATGCCTGTTACATCCTGTGCCTATGAGCTAGCCACAGTGGTGGGTTCCAGAACTGAGGATCCTGACTGGTTCCATGTCATTGCTGACTTCCTGCCCTGTCCTGGCTGCACTACTCGCAAACCACGAGTGATCATCGGCTTCAGGGATGGCTGTGCAGCTGTGGGAACCAATCAAGAAATATGGGTAAGGGACTTCCTCAATTCTAGCCAAGACTCTTTTGTAACCTGGCACTGATCCCTGGGGCCTTTTGATCCTTCGGTGGCCTTCCATAGCCTTTTGACATAGAACTGTCCCATCACCCTGATCTCACATTGACCTCCATTGGCTAAATGTCTTTGTCCTGATCTCCTGTGACCCTCTAGACCCCACATAAACTTCACCTTGGACTTCTCAGGACCAACTGACTCCCCCTTGACCTCTAGATCCCACATAAACATCACCTTGGAGTTCTCAGGACCCACTGACTCCCCCTTAACTCAAGTCCTGCTGAACTCCTGGCAACCACTGACTGAGAGATCAGAGCTCTAATGGGGGAAGCCCAGGCAGAATGATCAGGGCTGGGATGGGGAAACCACAGGGAAGCAGTGGAAGCTCAGAGGAGGCACCCTCAGTTTAGGAGACCAGTGAAGGAAAGTGACAAATGAGCTGAGACCTGATATTAGGCTGGGGGAGAGAGCAGGGAGGAGTATTACAGAACAAGGCCAGGGAAAAGGAGGGACCATATTTGGGGAGTAGTGGTAAAAATCAACTATTGAGTTTAAAATAGCCCACTAAATGTCCATGGACTTAGGACCAAGGAGGTCGTTAGCGACTTAAGAAATTGTGGCAGAGGGATGTCTGGATGATTCAGGTCATGATCCCAAGGTCCTGGGATCGAGTCCCACATCGGGCTCCCTGCTCTGCAGGGAGCCTTCTTCTCCCTCCACCTCTGTATCTGTCTCTCATGAATAAATAAAATCTTAAAAAAAAATCACAGCAGGGGGGTAGCTCCTGGATTGCAGGTTTGAGGAATAGCAGGAACAGATACCTCTCGTGACAAGTTACAAACTCCCCTTGTCAAACAGATGAGAATAGAGCTAAGCCAGGAAGAGGCAGAGGGCAAGGGTACCTTAGAGCTGATTTACTGCTAGGATTTTATTATGGGAGAAACTCAGGGATGTTTAAGTGCTGATGGGAAGAAGCCAGACAAGGAGAGGTTGGAAATCCAGCAGAGAGAGATCCCAGGGAGGAGGACACCTGGCTCTCCTAAGGAACACAGAAGCAAGGGAGCAGTAGAATTGGAACTGGGCAGGCAAAATGGTTAGTACTTATAAGAGGAAAAGGAACCTGAAACCCCATGCTGAGAAGCAGAACACAGCTGTGCGGTAGAGGCTAGTTGTAAATGGGAAGACGGTCCAGCAAGAGAACAGCTGGAATATCTGCCACGAGCTGGCAGGTAAGCTAAGCCAGAGCTTTTAGTTAAAGGATCGAGACCCTGATTGTGTGTCTCCTAACCTTCTAATGTAACTATGGACGAGTGAGTGACTCAACCTCTCGATACCTCAGTTTGCTCAACCACAAAAAAACAGTACTTACCACATAGCGTAGCCGTGAGGATTCCTGCAAAGTACGTGGCATATACTAAGGGTTCGGTAAGTAGAAGCTGTGACTGTTCTTTGGGGCACCTGTCTGGCTCAGTCAGAAGAGCTTGAAACTCTTGATCTTGGGGTCATGAGTTCGAGCCCCACTTTGGGTGTAGAGCTTACTTAAAAGTAAATAAACTTAGGGGCACCTGGGTGACTCAGTTGGTTAAGCAGCTGCCTTTGGCTTAGGTCATGATCTCGGGGACCTGGGATCGAGCCCCAGGTCAGGCTCCCTGCTTTTCCCTCTCCATCTACCCCTCCCTCTGCTTGTGGTTGCACTCTCTCTCTCAAATAAATCAAATCTTAAAAAAAAAAAAAAACAAATAAACTTAAAACTTTTTTTTAAAAACTGTGATTGCTCTTGCAACCACTTTTATATTATTAATGGAGAGATGGTACATACTGCTAGATGGTTAAGAACACAGTTTGTGAGGGGCGCCTGGGGGGCTCAGTTGGGAAGCCTGCCTCTCCCTCTCCCACTTCCCCTGCTTGTGTTCCCACTCTCGCTGTGTCTCTCAGTCAAATAAATAAATTCTTTAAAAAAAAAAAAAAAAAAACAGGTCATGAAATCAGACCCCTTTGGTTCAAAACTGCTCTGCCACTTACCAGCTGTGTGAGCCTGGGCAAGCTGTGTTAATTCTCTGGGCCTCAGGTTTCTAATCAGTAAAAGGCAAGAGGCATATAGGCATACAGTACTGATCTACCTTATCAGGGTGTTAGTGAGGATTTAATATCAGTTAAATGCTTTAATATTGGGTGCCTGAGTGGCTCCTTGGGTTGGGTATCTGCGATCAGCTCAGGTCATGATCCCAGGACTCCCCTATCTGGCTCCCCGCTTGGTGGGGGTTGGTCTGCTTCTCCCTCTGACCCTCCCCTGTCTCTTGGGCTTTCTCTCTCTCACTTTCTCTCAAATAAATAAAATCCTTCAAAAAATAAATACTTTAGGGATGCCTGGGTGGCTCCGTCAGTTAAGCGGGTGCCTTCAGCTTAGGTCATGATCCCAGGGTCCTGGGATTGAGTCCCATACATCAGGCTTCTTGCTCAGCGGGGAGCCTGCTTCTCCCTCTTCCCCTCCCCTGGCCCACGTGGGGCTCTCTTCCTCTCTGTCAAATAAATAAAATCTTTAAAAAATGAATAAATAAATACTTTAATATCATTAATTACATAAAATATAAGTTAGGTGACAATATGTTTAAATATCAATTGTATCATAATACTGCAATGTACTGTCTTACATTATCTTATAAAATAAATAAACATTAGAGCGCTTGGAATAATGCCTGGCACAGAGTATGCATAAACAGTTACTAGATTATGAAGACACAGGTGAGAGAGATGAGACAGCTTCCTAAGGCTTTTTGTTCTCTAAAACTCCGTTTTAGGAAAGAGTTTATTATGGAAAATTTCAAGCATTACAGGAGAAGAGAGAGTGGTGTTATAAAACCCTGTTACAGTTACAAATATTTTGCCCTTCTTGCTTTCCTCTTTTCCTCCCACTCTTTCTGCTTTGTTCGTGCTGGAGGATTTTTAAAGGAAATCCCAGATCTTATTCCTCTAGCGAAGACCTGGATATGCATTTCTGATAGAGACACGCGGCGGGATTCACGGTGGTTTCTGAGCCGCACCTTGGAATTCAAACCCTAATCCCCGCCCCTGACCCGCCTCCCCAATCTACAGGTGAACGGACAACCTGCGCGGCTCCCAGTCCAAGTGTGCAGGGGCGTGGTCGCACGCTGGGCCGAGGGCTCCCAGGTTGTCATCGAGAGATCCCCCACGCTGCGGGTGCTGGTGGGGCCGGAAGGGGCCGTGGCCCTACGGGCCTCCCCCGCGCTCCAAGGACGCCTCCGAGCAGCCTGCGGGGACTACAACGGAATTGCAGCCGACGACCTGATACTCCCAGGAGGACTCCGGGGTGCCAGCCTAACCGACGTGTTCCAGGCGTGCCGGGCTCGGGGCTTCAACAACTGGTGAGGACTTGCCCTTCTCCTGCCCTGGTACTTGACTCACATCGGCAGAGGGCGCGATTAGCGCAACTCCCTGCGCCCTAGGCAGCCTTTGGGCACTCGGAGCCCACACCTGTCTCTGTCATCCCACAGCACGGAGAAGCTTGTTACTCCAGCCGTGACACAACACTTCGCCTGACGCCGTCCCTCTGTGTGTCCCCGTGGCTGGGACCTCCTGACACACACCTGCCCTTGGGATGGGAACCCACGGACGTCCCCGAGATTGTTTTAATAAATAACATGACCAAATCTGCTTGTGCCTATATCTTCTTCCCAGTGCCCCCGCGCCCTGGGGGGGCACAAAGATTCCAACCTCTAGTTTCCCCGTCTCCCAGAACCCCAAGAGTAAGGTCGGGATCCTGTCTCCTCCCGACTCAAAATCTGAGTTGGAGCCCCTGACAACCCCCACCTTCGTGTTTCCCAAACCCGCAGTCCTCTCAAGGACACAGATTCCTTGGGGGGCAGGCCTATGAACCAGCAACTCCGCCCCTAAGCCGCAACATTATGACGTAACTGCATCGACAGCCAATGGGAGAGCAAAGCAGGAGGCGGAAGTTTTGGAGTGCGCGAGCCGGAAGTTTCCGTTGCCCGGCACAGCCGCTTTTCTGAAAGGTACCGCTGCGCGGCCGTTTGTGGGACGTTGCCTGCGTGCGCCCTCAGTCCCGCTGCTGCCATGAGCCGCCCCAGCCGGCTGCAGAGGCAAGTTTTGAGCTTGTACCGCGAGCTGCTGCGCGCCGGGCGCGGGAAACCGGGCGCCGAGGCGCGAGTGCGGGCCGAGTTCCGGCAGCACGCCTGCTTGCCGCGCTCCGACGTGCTGCGTATCGAGTACCTGTACCGCCGCGGGCGGCGCCAGCTGCAGCTATTACGCTCCGGCCACGCCACGGCCATGGGTGCCTTCGTGCGCCTGCGAGGTCCAACCGAGGAGGCCAGCGGCGCGGGGGCCCCAGGGACCCAGCCTGACAATGCTGGTGGTCCGAGGAACCCCCTCAACAGCACGGGGTCACCAGAGAACCCTCTTGATGGGCGATGACAGGCCGAGCAGCTCACCCGATAGCACAGGGGAACCGAGGACCCGCCTGAATGCATGGGGGAACCGGGAAGCCCATCTGACGGAGGGTGAGATGTCTTGAGAAGACCAGCTGGGTGGATTGGGGATGTCGGAGAGCCCTCCTAGCGACGTGGGGTCCTAGAAACCCCCATGATGGATGCTGAGAGATTCCCGACCTTGTCCGATCCATGATAATGGGTCGAACTTACCCATTAGGGTTTGGGGCGGCGTGGTTGCCGGCTGGCTGAACTGTGACAAGCTGAAAGCTTCTTACCTGACCGCTTGGGGAGCCAGGACGCCCGCCGTCGGACAGAAAGAAGAGACACCCTTCTCTTGACCCCAGGCTCCCCTCTCTTTTATGTAACTCTGAGAAGAGCATACTTTTTGCTGAGAAGTTTGGGAAGATACCCTGATGGATGGTGAGAAGCCCCGAATCCCCCTTTGGAAAACTTTCTTCCCATTAATTGCGGCAGACTAGGACCTGGGAGGAAGGGCCTGGGGTATCTTACCCCCATCGGATCAACTAAAGACCCCTCAAGACCTATACTTGGTGATTCTAAAGGGGAACCCTGACTCCTGTGCCCTTATCTCAGGACTGTTGAAAAAAATAATAATAAATAAAATCGGGGCTGTGATTACTTTCCTGTTGGTGGTCTCAAAGATTTCACATGTTTGGAGATTTTTGAAAGGGCCCTCACCAAGAAGTGACCCTTTGGGTGGAATAGGTGTGGAGAGATGTCTCTTCCTCTCTGGAGCCCTCTGGACTAGCAGATTGGTTGAAAGCAATCTAGTTCTTGCTCCTGGGCAGCTCCTTGAGACCCACCCTGATTTGACCCCAAAGAAACCCCAGTTGACTCCTTCATAGAAGGTAACGAGGTAGGAGAGAAAATGGTGGCGCTGGGGAGGCCTGGCTGGTAGCCCCTGAGGCAGTACTAGGGACCTCAAACGTGGCTAAAGAGTCCAGCCTCAGCTACAAGGCCCTGGGGCAGGGGCGGGGGCGGGGGTGGGGGGCAGGGGAGATGGACCCATAAACCCCAGGCATACTTCCTCCATATCCCTGTATTAATCTTGCCTAGACATTCTCTGGGGTACTGCACTTTGCAGCACTGAACTCTGTTCGCATCCATGTCAGTTACATAAATGGAAAGAGTGGAAAGCAGATGAATTCTTAGCAAATGCGGTTGGGAAGAGGAGGAGACCCTTAGGAAAGAAACCCAGACTTCCGACTAAAGAGAGGATAGAGGAGAAACATGACTCTGCTCTAATCCCCATGGGCGTCACAGGTGCACAAAGAGTTATAAAGTGGAGTTGAAATTTGAAGAGTTATAAGGAGTTTCCCAGGTGCTGGGTTGGGCTTCTAAGTGGGAGGACCGGAGTGGACAAAGGGCAGAAATGCAGGAGTCCAGCTGGGGCTTGGAGTGTCCAGAGCACAGGCTGTGTGGTTTGCACACATGGCTTCTGCCTCAGCTATCTTGGCTTGCTCATCTCTCTCCAGCCTCAGTTTTTTGTTTTTGTTTTTCCATCTGGGTGTTCTTGTTAATCTTGGCCTGACTCCATCTCAGTAAAAGCCCAAGCCTTGAAAGTGGCTAATGGAGTCCTACCTATCCAGCCCCACAGCACTCCCCTCTCCCTCTTGCTTCCTCCTGGCTCCAAGGATATGAGTCCTAAGAAGCTCCAGGATGGGAGTTTTGGTAGGGCTGTAGGCAGTGAACAAGTCCCCACTGGGGCTGGGTGGCCTGAGTCAGGAGGGGAGACATTCTACCCAGGTGCTATAGATGAATAGAGTTTCTGTGGTAGAGAGAATGAGGGAAGGGAGTGCCTGATTGGAGGGAGGAGGTTGTAGGTCATTGGTGATTAAGAGCAGGGATCCTGGTACTGCAGTTCCTGGGTTTGGATCCCAATCCCAACATTCTGATTTTATGATCCTGGGCCTGTGATTTAACTAACCTCTTTGTTCCTCAGTATCCTTATCTGTGAAATTGGGCATCGTAATAGGGCCTCCTTCACGTGGCTGTTAGGATACAGTGGATTAAACGTGCTGTGGTAGCAGGTGATGTCCCAGCTTCGTGACCTCTTGCCTACTTGGGTCCACTTGGGGCTGAAGAAGTGGGTTCCCAGGAGACGGCCAGCTTCCTGCCCTGAACAGCTGTCCCAAGGGGCCAAGCCGGTGACCATATACGTGCATGAGGTGAGCCAGTGGAGCCTTGGGGACATCTGGGAAAATCACAGTACCTGAGGAGGAGCTACTAGCCACACCAGCAAGTTACACCACTCTTTTTTTTTTTTTAAGATTTTATTTTAAGTAATGTCTACACCCAACGTGAGGCTCAAACTTACAACCCCAAGATCAAGAGTCATATGCTCTACTGAGCCAGCTAGGCGCTCGATGTTATCACCACTCTGGCTCAGCTCCCTCCCTCAGACAGCACTGGACCGTCCTGGGTATGAATGATGTGGGGGAATGACTAGGATTTTCTTGACATCATGAAAGTATTGTGATTCGATTTCAAAACAATCCTGATCTGGAGATGTTCCATGAATTGCTCACGAGTAAAAGGATCTAGGATTGGCTTCAAAGTAATCTAGGGAGAGGGGAGTAGGTGCCTGGGAGAATTAAAGAGGATTAGCTCTGAGTTGATAATGACTGGAGCTCGCGATGAGTCCATGAAGACTTGTAATGCTGTCCCTTCTTCTTTGGTAGTTTAAAAAGTATCTGAATTGAAGCTGGGAAAACAAAACAAACTCTGTTGGTCCCCAGCCTAACTCTGATCAGAAGTCCTCACTGTGGTCCACAAGGCCTCACCTGATCAGGCCCCATCACCTCTCACCTCACCTCCTTCCATGCTCCCCCCTACCACTCATGGTCCAGCCACACTGGCCTTCCCCCTTGCCTGGCACACTTCTACCTCAGGGCCTTTGCACTTTCTCCCTCTACCTGGAATACTCTTCTGCCAGGGCTGCACTGTCCAGTATAACAGAGAAATGTGATTAGGGGCTGTCTGGCTAGCTCAGCTAAAAGAGCAGGTGACTCTGGATCTTGGGGTCCTGAGTTCAAGCCCCATGTTGGGTATAGAGATAACTTAAGTAAATAATCTTTAAAAATGTGATTAGGGGAAACAATGTAATTAGGGACTAAGGAATTGTGAAAAATTTTATAAATGTTTTTTGACTGCCTCTATTCCCCCTGAGAGCCTCAGTTTCCTGTTCCGTTAAGTGGGGACACACCATCGTGTGGTCGTGAGCATTACAGAAGGAAGGTGTGTTTAGTGCACATCCAGGTGCCTGGCACAGGGTTCCTGCCTCTGTTCTTGAGTCTAGTTCTGTTTCTCTTGTCCTGACTGCATAAACTCGGAGGAGGTGATGAGCTTAGACACCTGAGGCTGAGGACCGGACTTCAGGACTGAGCCCTGGCACTTCAGCGTGGTGTCATCAAGACCCCGGGGAAGGGGAATGTTACGGGCCTGCACCGGGGAGGGCCCACCCTGGGAACCTGCTATGTAGCGTACTTAAGTACCGGTATGAATGCCAGACAGGGGCTGTAGCTGGTGTCAGCAGCTGGCCCACATCACCTGCATCCTTCCCGTACATACCTCGAGCTTCCAGGGGCAGACACCTGTGCCTCTTTGCTTGGGGAGCCTTGACAGGCAGGAGATGTGGGATGTGCTGGGAAGTTCGCATCTCCAGAACAGTCCCTAACCGATGAGACACGGAAGCTGGTACATAAATGCCACAACTTCTTCACCCTTTGGGTGGAACTACTCTGATTGTGTTCCAGACTCTCCAAGGGGCCCCTAGTGGGACGGAACCCCAGATGCCCAGCAACCAGCTTATTAACTGCCTTTCCTGGCTCACTCCCCCACTCCCCTATCAATCTGCCTAGGGGAGTCACCCCTCCAATAAACTACTTGTGCTTGAATCTTTGTCTCAGGGGCTAGGGGATCCCCATTAAGATAGGGTGATTCATTCTGTGTTGTACACTCAAAGGAATCTGCTGAGGGGGCTGTCCGGACATCAGAGCTGTATCCCAAATTCTGAACTCACACACTCAGTATCCTCGCACATTCTGCTATGGTCTGAAGTCTGTGTCCCCTCAAAATTCATATGCTGAGATCCTAACCTCCAATGTGATAATATTAGGAGGTGAGGCCTTCAGGAAGGGATTAGGTCATGATGGTGGAGTCCTCATGGAAGGGTCTTTTAGAGCCCTTAGGAAAGAGAGCTCCCTGCCCCTTCTGCCATGGGAGGAGACAGCGAGAAGGTAACCATCTGTAAAGCAAGTAGCAGCCCTCAGCAGATACCCAATCTGCTGGCACCTTGATCTTGGACTTCTCAGCCTCCAGAATGGTGAGAATCAAGCTTCTATTGTTTATAAGCCATCCAGCCTGTGATTTTGTTAACAGCAGACCACGCGGACTAAGACACATCTTTGACAGTAACTATTTATTACATGCATCTGGGCTATGTACTCAGATTGGAGGAGGACCATTGACATAGCTGAGCACCAGGTAAGGTGTCCCGGCCAGTCGGGCAGAAGAGCAGCAGGACCCCCCTGATGGTGGCAGGAGCAACGTGGCACCCACCAGGAGAAAGAAGAGGAGGAGGAGGAGGAAGATCAGCGAGTGCCGGGATGCAGGAGGAGGGGCTCTGTGAAGGGAAATGCAGTGTTAAGTGCGTGGTGCACTGCCACCGTAAACCCTGTGCCCCACACCCCCAGACCCATTTCCCAGGCATCTCACCCAGGCTCTGCCTCCAACATCACGCCCTGGAGATTGGGAGATGCTCGCTTCTTGTCCTAAGGGGACAGCAGCCAGCAGCAGAATGGATGGAAGTAACACTTAGTCTGGACTCCTACTTACTACTACAGACCTACAGAGCTGAGCTTTTTTTCCCCTCTCCTGGCACCCCCTTAACCCTCAGGACCCAACCTGCATGGGCTTGGAATATCTCCAAGTGGGGTTGATATCTGTGCCTGCCCTCCATCCAATCTTCCTTTTCCTGATAATAATGGTGGCTCAATGTACAGGGGATGGAGGGCATCCTGTCTCCCCACCCTCAGGTCTTCGGACTCTGGAGTAGCTGACCCCATACAACTCCCACTTCCATGACTGGGCATGTGAGCCTAATCTGGCCAATGAGAGCACTCCATCGGCTTGGCCACTGTGATTGCTTCTGGGTACAGGTCATGACCCAAGCTGGCCACGTGGGAGTCAGCCCTGGGACTTTGCTGCCAGTAGGTCAGTGGCACTCTGCTTCTCCTTGGGTGGGTGAACCAGTGGGACATGAGTGTTTAGCTGCTGGGGCCGCCATAAGCTGAGAAGGCAACCACCTTGGAGAAGAGCCCAAGAGAGGGAAGGACTGAGCCCTAATAGCATCCAGATCTTTTCAGAAGCTCGCGGACTTTTCACTTACATGAAAAAATATCATCCTTTCTCTTGTGTAATTCAATTTGGGTTAGGTTTCTGTCACTTGCCATCAAGATACCCAACAGATAGCCCTGGGTGAGGACCTGCTCACCTGAGACTTCCGGAGCAGGGAACGTCTTCGTTGACCTGCCAAATGTTTCCAGTGGCTGAAGCCCGACATGAGCATGTCTTGTGGGGAAACTGAGATGTGGGGTCCTTGGGAGAACTAGGGACAGACACAAAGTTGTGCAAGGGCCAAGATAGGCTTGTCACAGATGAGATTCTGGGGGATGAAAAAGATCTCGAGAAGCAAGGAAGAGAGGGGCAGAGCTGAAGAAATCAAGAGAAAAGAGACATTACTTATTCATTCAACAAATATTTAATGAGTATCTATTACATGCCAGGCACTGTTCTAGAATCTGTACACAGGCAAAGTCCTAGCGTCCATGGAGCTTATTCCAGCAGAGAGAGAGCACACATGAAGAAATAAATGTACAATGTCAAGAAGTGGTAACTGCTGTTAGGAAATAAAGAGGTTAAGCACTGATCATGTATGGAAGTCAGGGCAGGCCTCTCTGAAGAGGTGACATTTGGGAGGGGTGCCTAGCTGGCTCTGTTGGTAGAGCACGTGACTCTTGATCTCAGGGTTGTGAGTTCGAGACCCACGTTGGGCATAAAGCTCAGTTTAAAAAAAAAATTTTTTTTTTTTAATAAAAAAAGGTGACATTTGTGGAGTGACTGGAAGGAAATGAGGAGATGAGGGGGCATGAGTCTGGGGGCTTTTGAGATAGGAGTGAATTTGGGATGTTTGAAGAACCAGGAGACTAACGTGGCTGCAGAGGGGAGAGTGAGGGAGAGCGGAGGAAATGAAGAAGTGCAGATAGAGACCACAAGAGGAAACAGAGGTAAAGAAGACACAGAAACCGAGAGAGGCAGGGGGAGGGAGGACAACATTGAAATAGGAAGAGAGAAACACTGAGAAAGACTGAGGGAGAGACAGAACCACAAAGGCCCCCTTGAAAGGGAAGTACCCTAATAAGAAACACAAAGAGGTGTCCCAAAGGTGCTTGTAGGGGAGGGGTATCCCCCAACTGCTCTCACCTCAAGGCCTTGTCCCCTGCCCTGGGGGCCTCTGTGACCACACAGCTCACAGGGAGCTCCTGGTGTCCAGGCTGTCTTTTGCCACAAGGGCCTGAGGCCTCCAACATCCCCTGCCGGGTCCCACTCCAACTCTGCGGGAGTGGGGTAGCTACTGGGTGCCCAAGGCCCCCAGACCTCACCAGGTCCTGGCCCATCCAAGTCCCCCTCGACTTCCAAGTCCTGATCCAGTGGGCTGGCCTCCTCAAATACCTGGTCAGAAGACAGAGTTATGGGGGGTGTGGACTCGGTACCTGGGGCAGGGGCTGCCAGGGCAGGCCATACCAGGCTAGAGCTGACCAGCTGGGCCTGCAGCCACCACAGTCGCCGAAAGATGCTGCCTCGGTGGGCTCTGAGGGCTCTCAGGACCTGCTCCAGGGATGCCCGGGCCTGAGGTTCACTCCGCTGTGCCAGCCCCTCACCAAACGCCAGGAGGGCATCTATGCGCTCAGCTGCCCCACGCAGGTCTGCCTGGAGGGCCTGGGGACACAAGGTTAGACACCACCCCCCACCCGTATCCCCACACACCCAGAGCACGAGAGATCTGGGACCTGGAGTTACGTCCCTTCTCACCTTTCCTACCCAGGCATCTGGAATGTGGAATAAACCCATTTCCCACCCCAGGAAGTTGGCACCCATTCCTGAGGCCCTGCCCACCCTCCCACATCTTCCCACAGGTGGCCCACTGCCCACCTGCAGCTGGCCCATCCTGCTCTGGGCTGATGCCCAGGGCCCCAGGCCTCGCTCTAGGTCCCGCAGCCGGAGGCCCAGCCCCAATAGGCATAGAGCTAGGCTGTCCTGCTCAGCCTCCAATACCTCCTGGCCAGAGCTGAGGTGCTGGGGAATACAGGAGACTGGGTTAGGGCCAGGGGCTAACCAAGACCTTGCCCCTACTCCCAATGCCACCCCTCTGCTGTCCTCCCATCCAGTGTCCATCTCTGGGTCTGCACCAGAGCAGCTCCCTCCCTGATGGAACCAGGCCTGAAGACCTCTAAGTTCAAAGCCTCCAGGTTTCCAAGGCTCCTAAAATTGTGGACATTTGGGGCCTGGGGGCCTGGACAGGGAGGGGTGATAGTGCTGGATATCCCCACAAGGAATGGGGCTGCTCCTGGGTCAATGATGAAACAATTCTCTCCCAGTTGGTAAAATCATGAAAATCATTTTCTAGAGCATCCCTACCCCCTCACAGATTGCCCAATGCTTTTCCAGAACCATCTCATCCCCAGATTCTGGGCGGGAGGAAATGGGGGGCTGGCCCAAGGGGCCTGGATCACCTCAGCTTACCTCACAGTGTTTGCCCCCTGCTGCATCCTCACTGGAAGTGGGTGTTGGCAATCTGAGGGGACCAGCAGTAGGCTCAGTGCCCCCCATCCCACCCTGGAGGTGTTGGGGAGGGTCCAAGGAGTCTTGCCCCAGTTCCTGGGCCTGGTCTGGTCTGGGAGGTATGAAGCATTGACAGGCCTCTGGGTGAGTCCCAGTTATCCACCCCACCCTACCCCTGGCCGCAGCTCCCTCTGCCACATCCCTAGGTGATCATAGCCACAATACCTCGTAGCCTCAAAATGCCTCTGCTTTTCTGCCCCCACCCTTTTGGGACCCCAGTTGCAAAAGCCCCAGCCCCTACCTGAGTCTCTCCTCAGAAGCGGGGCAGAGGGTGAATCCAGCAATGTCCAGTTCCCTGGGGGCTCCAGGGGGGTGGTTGAGGGGCTCTGAGGGGGGTCTAGGGCCCAGAGGTGGAGGCAGGGCCATAGCTGGGAGCCTGGGGATAGAGTCAGTGAGGATCCCCAGTGAGAGCCCTTTTCCTGGCCAGGGGTCTCCCCCCACCACCCCCAGACCTCCTCAGTAGGACTTACCAGGCCTGAGACAGCCAGAGGCCCAGGGGCAGGCTCACCTCCACCTCCTAACCAGCAGAACCTGGACCAGCTGGTAATCTGAGGCCTAGCTCAGGTGACAGCAGCACCATTTAACTCCTTCCTCCCCAGCTGCCAGTTAGCTGAACCTCCCAGGCTCGCCCCATTCAACACACCTAAGGGGTTTCCAGATAGAACCCTGACCCCTCCAGAGCCCTGGATTCTGTCCCACTTAGGGACCATATATTTGACCCCAGGACCCACACCATCCAAGGTCCCCAACACAGTGCCCCTCAAGAATCCACGCATCTGTCCCCTGCCCCAATCCAAAGCCAGAGAGAGATTTTTGTTGGTTTATTTGAAATGGGACCTCTTCCTATAGTTCACACAAAGTTACTGGGGGGGGGGGGGGGGGGGAGCCCGGGGGGGGGGGGGGGGGGGCCCCGGCCCCCGGGGGCCAAGGGCCCGGGGGGGGGGGGGGGGGGGGGGGGGGGGGGGAAACTCCGGGGGAGGGGAGGGAGCCGCCTCTGCCCCAGGGTTCCAAGGTCACAGGGTGGACGCTGTCAGGCCGAGGCGGAGAGCCCGGGAATGCAAGCTGGACAGGCGCTGGTCACTTGCTCAGTAGGAGGCCGGTGCGCAGCACGCGGGGCACGCGGCGGATGGTCAGCGAGACGCGCGTGCCGCGGACCAGGTTGGCTCCGGGCTGCGCGGACGGGCAGGCGGCGGCGTTGGGCGGCAGGGAGGCGGCGTCCAGCGCGTCTACGCGGGCAGCTGCGATGCCGTGGAGGAGGCGCGTATAGGCGGTGCCACGGAGCACCAGCAGGCTGCGCGGTTCCAGCAGCAGCGAGGTGGCTGGCCGGGGCGGGGACAGGGGCTGCGGGGCGGGCTGAAGGTCAGCGCGTCCCCGGAAGTCAGGGGGCTAGCGAGGTTAGCAGACTTGAAAGTTTGGCGGGGGGG